GGAGGCCCTTGGCATTGCTTGGAAATTGCGCATTAGGCATTTCACCACCCCTCCATTCTCTGAGATTACTGTTTCATGCTTTTTTCTTTCTCCTTAGCTACAAACACCTCCTCAAGCCACTTGCAGCCTCAGACTTGCTTCTTATTTCACTAAGAAAATAGATACAATCAGAAGAAACCATCCTCATATCACCAAATCCTTTGAGTGCATGAGTCTTTTCATGTTCAGTATATATACTAATGTGGTTGCCCTCAATTGTGAATTCAATGATGCAAATGGAGTTTGGATTCCTTTTTTTAAAAAGTAAATTTATTTATTTATTTACTTTTGGCTGTGTTGCGTCTCCATTGCTGCACGCGGGCTTTCTCTAGTTGTGGTGAGCGGGGGCTACTCTTCATTGTGCTGTGCGGGCTTCTCATTGCAGTGGCTTCTCTTGTTGCAGAGCACGGGCTCTAGGCGCGCAGGCTTCAGTAGTTGTGGCATGCAGCTTCAGTAGTTGTGGCATGCAGCTTCAGTAGTTGTGGCTCGTGGGCTGTAGAGCACAGGCTCGGTAATTGTGGTGCAAGGGCTTAATTTCTCCGTGCATGTGGGATCTTCCTGGCCCAGGGCTTGAACCCGTGTCCCCTGCATTGGCAGGGGGATTCTTAACTACTGCGCCACCAGGGAAGCCCCTTGGTTTCTTAATGAAATATTTCCAAGAGGTTTTAAAGAATACAAGCCAACTATTTTATAGAATGTTCCTCAGCTTGGGTTTGTCAGATAATTTCTCATGTTAAGATTCAGGCTATGAGCTTCCAGCCAGAACACTACACACGTGAAATTGTATGATCTTCAAAGTAACACCCAAAGGTGCAAGATGTACATCTGTCCCTCTTTGTTGATATTAATTTTTACTTCCTCGTCAAGATGTTGTCTGGTTTCTCCACTGTGTAGTTACTATTATTCTCCTGGTAACTAATGAGAAATCTGGAGGTAGACAGGTTGAGAGTATGCAAATATCCTATTCCTCAGCAATGTGTCCCCCAAATTTAGCATCAGTTGATGAATCTTGTTCTAAATTTTTCTTATGATGGTTTTAAATGATGATTTTTTTTACAGTTCCACAACTTCTTTCTACATGCATCTTTTGGCATTTTTCTGTTATCAAGAAACTCAGACCCTTCTTCATTGTTTATCTACCTATCTATCTGTCTATCTATCTAAATTCATCATCATCATCACCATCATCTACCTGTCTATTTGCCTATCTATCTTGTCTATCTATCATCTATCAATCAATCTATCATCTACCTACCTACCTACCTACCTACCTACCATTAGGGACTCAATAATGTACTTCATGGCATTTGATTTTTATATCTTTGCCAGGCCTTTTCTTCTGTTCTTTCTGTGTTATTTTCCTTCAGATGTGTGTCATCCAAACCCATTTTTAAAAAAAGAGTTAATAAAATCACTTTCTTTTGTTTATACTGAAGTTCTGGAAAGTAGGGGAAACGTAAGACTTGACAAATAATTCTTGTTTTCACACTGATGGTTTTAAACATAGTTGTCATTAAACAGGACACAGTTCATGCCACCCAACATGGCAGGAGTAAAAAACTATTTCAGATGGTCACTGTCCAACAATAGGTTGGGTGTGGCATATTACCTGTTCTTGGTAATCTACTCCCAGTGCAGAGTCATGTTCGCTGTAGGGTTCCCCACTGAGTGCTTTCACCAAGGGATGAGATAACCTTGACTAAATTATTTTCTACCCATTTATGTGGCCTTCAGGCTGTAGGACTATTCAATAACTTGAGTGATTATTCAATTAGCACAGGGTTAATTAATTAATGTGGCTAAAATTATTTTTTATTTCCATAGATGAAAGATTTTGAAAAGCAGTCAGTACTACTCTGTGTTATTTCCTGGTCCTTTAAGTAAAAGCTTAATTAGGGACTTTGAGAAGGAAATGAGAAATAATCAAGCAAATCATGTTTTTGACGACCTAGTCTTTTGCAGTGAAAATGTTTCCATCATAAGGTTTGTGATGTTTTTTGCATTATTCAGTTCCCAGAACAATGCATTTACTGAAAATGCAACATGGTGCTGTGATCTGCCAGTATAAATAATGCTACTAGGGCTTCCCTGGTGGCGCAGTGGTTGAGAGTCCACCTGCCAATGCAGGGGATGTGGGTTCGTGCCCCGGTCCGGGAAGATCCCACAGCCGCGGCTGGGCCCGTGAGCCATGGCCGCTGAGCCTGCGCGTCCGGAGTCTATGCTCCGCAACGGGAGAGGCCGCAACAGTGAGAGGCCCGCGTACCACAAAATAATAATAATAGTAATAATAATAATAATGCTACTAGAATAAAGTTTTTGAAAACCTGTTTACATGCATGAAATAGAAACCTCAGACCCCAGAAAACACATTAAAATATTTTGCATTTTCTAGTCTAGTTTTATTAAAAAATATTTTAAAAATTAATTTTAACTACACTTTTTGATCAAGAAAAGTGAATCTGGAGCGTTATGTACAGATTGCTTCTCCTCATCTTCTCTCCAATTAATGTCTCTGTCAGACTCTCCTTCTCTTGGGTTATGGATTGGCCAGGTGAAAATAGGGAGATCTGAAGAATAAAAAAATAACTCCCCCTATTTTTTCCTTATACCATAGTTTTAACATTGTTATACTAACCCTAACGATATTCTTAGTAAGTTGGAAAGATTCAAAATAGTGAATTGCTTTTTTTTTTTTTTGCGGTACGCGGGCCTCTCACTGCATCGGCAAGCGGAGTCTCAACCACTGCGCCACCAGGGATGCCCGTGAATTGCTTTTGTAGTGAGTAAAAGCTATACATTCCAGGGTGGAATTGAAGGTAAAATTTCTAGGCATTGATATAATTAAATCAGATTTTGTCATGATGTTCATTCGTTCAGCCATGTCTGCTGAGTGCCCGTTACATGCCAGTTCCAGTCTTGTATGCTTAGGATTGAGTGGCGAATAAAGTTGACAACAATCCCTGCCTCATGGAGCTAATGTTCCAGAAAGTGGGGATAGACAATAAATAATAAACTTACCCACTAGGTGAAAAATGTGGTATCTTAGAAGATTAAAAGAAGCACTCTGGACAAAAAGTAGAGTAAGGACTATTGGGGTGCTATGGGGGAAGGACACATTACAACCTTAAGTAGGGTGATCAGGGAAGGCCTCATTCAGAAAGTGACCTTTGACAAAGACTCGAATTAAGTGAGGGAGTCAGTGTTCTAGGCAAACCTAGATGGGAGTGTGCCCTGTATCTTCACAGCACAGCAAGGAAAAAGTATGAGTGGAGCCAGGTGGCAAGCGGGTGAGTAGAAGGAAGTAAGGTCAGAGAAATAAAAAAGAGGGGCCAATTCATGCATTGCCTTGCAGGCCTTGGTAAAGAATTTGTCTTTTACTTTGGATAAAATGAGAAACCACTGGCTTTAAGTCTTTCCCTGGGGGAAATGGGGAGCCACTGGAAAATTTTGAGCAGAGAAGTGATATGATTTGACATTTAATCATCTTAAATGTGTTCAGTTTGCTACTGTGTTTGGAAAAGACCCCTGGGAGGCACAAGTGCATGCTGGCAGAGCAGTTAGGATGTTTTCACAGGAATGAGTAGGAGAGCTGATGGTGGCTCCCACCAGAGAAGGAACAGTGGGAAGTAGTCAGATACTCTTATATTTTGAAGATGGAGCTGAGAAGTGTTCCTGTTAGATTGCATGTAGATGTCAGGGAAAG